ACACTGCAGAGGGTGATCAACACTGCAGAGGGTGATCAACACTGCAGAGGGTGAACAACACTGCAGAGGGTGATCAACACTGCAGAGGGTGATCAACACTGCAGAGGGTGAACAACACTGCAGAGGGTGATCAACACTGCAGAGGGTGGTCAACACTGCAGAGGGTGATCAACACTGCAGAGGGTGGTCAACACTGCAGAGAGTGAACACTGCAGAGGGTGGTCAACACTGCAGAGGGTGGTCAACACTGCAGAGGGTGGTCAACACTGCAGAGGGTGGTCAACACTGCCCAGAGGATCATTAGCTGCTCTCTGCCCAGTCTGAAGGACACTGCCACCTCTCTCTAAGCAGAGCTGCCAGTATCATCAAGCACCCATCCCACCCCAGTAACACCAGTTTAACCTGCTACCCTCGGGTCGATGGTACCGGTCACACAAAACCCGTTCAAATAGGCTCAGGGACAACTTTTTCCCAACAGCCATCAGGGAACTGAACAACAAAAAATAACAGCAACAACCCCATGTGCAATATATCCTCTCAGGAACATCTCTAATGTGCAATATTACAAACAAAGAAGAAAAATATACTGTAAAATTTCCCTATTCTTCATTTCTATTTACAGAAACTCTTTGATTTCTTTTTTTTTTTTGATAGTGCACATTTTTGTCTTTGAATTTAATTTGTCTATTTTATTGTCTACTCTCCTGAAGTTATTTTATCGTGTACAAAAAAGAAATAACCTTGGAGCAGCAAACCCAATTTCACTGTAATGCAAATTATAAAGACAATAAAGGTGACTGTGATTGTAAAATGTCCTGTTACCTTGAGCAGTAGCTCCACCACCTCAGTGTGAACCAGTCCCTGGACTGACTCCCCGTTGACATGAGTGATGAGGTCCCCGGCCCTCAGTCCTGCCTCATGTGCTGCACTTCCATCTTCAACACACTGAGTAGAAACACAACATTCAAACTAATGGTCAATCTACAATATTTTTATAGTGTTGTACCAGCTGTCTGGTTACCATTCGTTATGTTCTGTCTCTACAATTTGTCATAAACTTTCCTGTTGCAGCCACATCTACAGAGTTTGGGTTCAGTCCCATAGACCTTACACTTCTGAATATTGTGTGAAGTTGTAGTCACAGGATTGTCAAACATGCTTGGAGATGGTATTATAGCCTTTTCCTTTAATAATGTTCTTCCTAAGATGTTGGGACAACTCTCTCCTTAGCGTTCTGTCATCCATGTTCAGTGTGGTACACACCAGAACGAACAGGACAGTGGTCATTTTTCACCCAATAATGCAGGCTTCTTAACCTTTTTGACCTCAGGGCCCAGTTTATTG